TTCCAAAATGTAACGACAAATCTTTGCACTCCACTGTATCTGCAGTGGTCGAATTACTCAAGGAAATAATAAAGCATTTGTGTTCCTTAAGCGATGGCGAATCATTCAGAAGAGGAGCTCCACGTGGATGGAAGGACAGTAGCTCGAGTGATGGCCGAAAATATTGAAGATTTAAAATACATTGACCATGACGCAGTGATTGCGTCTTTGCTGAGGAAACAAGTGATCGATCATGTTGAGAATGGCGAAATTATGGACAAAACTCAGACGGGGAAAATACGATTTCTTCAGGAAAAACTCCCACTGAAAGGAGACACTGCATTCCAGAAATTTTTGGAGAGCCTTCAAGAGAGAAATCATATGAAACTTGCCATGAAAATGCGACTTGGTGAGTTATGAAACTTCAGTGCCTATTGCCTTAATTTATCGCCTTTGGCGGACTGGAATGTTTATGCCCGAACATTATGCGCTGTATCACACTTCCAACGTGCTTCTCGATGGCTAAATAAGTGATTTCCAGACGGAAAATTCCTCTTTCTGAAATGTTCCCAAGAGTTTAAGTGGCCACATCGCTGAAATATAACCGCGATTTCTTTACCATTTTGAATTAAACAGATATTGCGTCCGATATTGGCTAAAATAGAGCATGAAATTTTAACTACGAATCGAAGAGACTTAACTTTAAGATCACTCGATCAGCAGCTTAATTCCCGTTTGAAAGGGTGCCACCACGATAGAAAGTGTTGATACAAAAACAGTAGAGATTTCGTATATCCAGATCCCCTGCGACGACCTTCCTCTACTTGGTTTCTTTATTCTCGAATGTTCTAAGATACAGAGCCGATGCAGTAAGTTCCTGAATAAATGTAAGAGGAGACGATCATGAGGAGACTTCGGCATATTTCATATTGGGGAACATACGGGATGTTCAATGCGCACACTTCAGGGTATTTTATGAAAATATAGGGAACTGTATTTTTCTGGGCATCAGAGTGAGAATCGCTGTATGAGCGGTTAAGCACCATCTTGGGTCGATAGGCAGAACATATTTTCTGCCAAAATGATGATCGATAACTCCATTTTTAAACAGCGTTGAAACTATGATGAAGACAAATGTGAACAATTAATTAGCACTAAACAGCATTCAAGCGACTTCGCTAACCCATGTGTAATTCTTGCTGAAAATTCTGCTAATTACGAAAATAAGACATTTAATTGAGTTCTAATTGCATTCTTTGCTGAATTCTTAGTTTCAACCACATCATAACTTTTCAACCTATGGTCAATGCTGATCCTAACTTGTTGTGCCGAATAGGTAGGTAGGCCACCCAGGTACCTTGAAATAGGTCTAGGCAAAGCATCACATTCAGCCTGAAACGGTCTCGAGCGTTGTCTTGCGATCTTTTCTTGCTTTCTCTCTCATCTGTTCCCCAGGAAAAAGTAAGGAAAAATCTATAATGGAATGTGTGCTAATGCCGATAGCTGATATGATAATAGACCCGCGGACCGCGGACCCGAGAAGAAATGCGAGCTTCGATGAGAAGTCAAATGCTGAAAACTGGTGTCGGGCGGTAGTCTCGAAGTAATTATCAAGACTGTACAGAGATGGTGTCAGAGCATTATCAGCTCAGACTGATCACAGTAGGATCAAATGACAATATTTCTGCGATATAACTTACATATGAATTCTAACAGAGGAGATCAAGGGCTTTCTAATGATTATCACGCAGGAAGTTCAGATCAAAATTAATATGAATGGTCATCTGGGTCAAGTCATAGGCCAAATTTAATAAATCTAAAATGAGTTTGCACATCTCCAAAATATAAAGAATGGGCCATAGATGAAAAAAATCGTTTGAGAAGCCTGGGAGGAGTTCACCAGACAAAATCCGGTCATAAAGACATTTTCAGGCCGTTATGAATGTACAGTAGATAGCTGTCGTTGGGATGGATACATAAAAGGTATCGGGTAACAAGGCAATGTTCTTAAAGGTTCGCGCGTCCAGGTCGAATGGAGGTCCAGAGTATGAAGTGTAGGATGCGAGATGCGAGATTTCACGTGTACGCCCAGCAAACCTCTTTACGCGACAGCAAGTAGCCACTCACTCCTAATGTATACTATGGATTCACGATCTGCGAGGGCTCCAAGGGAAGTGAAAGTGTTAGTCATACTTCGGCGCCTTGAACCACATGAAAAACTGCGTATGCGCACTAAGTAGAGTTGTATGGTTGTTATGGATATTGCAGATAAACGGAACGGAAAATAATGAAAGCCTCATCGCAATATCTGCCATTTTCTCATTGTACAGGGTGGCGCAAAAGTTGCGCACCATAGGGTAAATTAAAGTAACTGTTCCAATTGTTGAACATCATCTTGGAAACACTTTTCGATTCGATGTACACAAGATGTGTCAATATTTCTTAACACACTGATGCTGATCTTGGCATATTCAAATCTGATTTTTTCCTTCAATTGCTCTATGTTTAAATGTAGACGACTGACTTCAGATGCCCCCCAGAAAGAAGTCAAGAGGCGTGAGGTCCGGTGACCTAGGTGGCCATTCGACGCGCCCTCGCCATCCAATCCGCTTGTTTGGGAACGTCTTTTTTAAGAAGTCCCGAACGAGGATTGAAAAAAGGAATGGTGAACCGTTTTGCTGGAATACACTTCCCGTTTCTTTTAACCCATTAATTATTCTTACGACGGTTGCCTGATCAATTGGAGGCCTCTCTAGGTGTTTTTCATTACATTCAGTAGCAATTGATCGATTTGAAGTATCTGGCCATCCACACATTGAAACTAGCCTCTCGTCTTCTGTTAATTTCGAAGCCATCAACTACCTGCAAAGCAAAATAAATTATTACTATAGTCCAACAGTGAAATCCCCTATGGTGCGCGACCTATGCGCCACCCTGTTCATATGGGGATCGCAATGACAAAATGTGAAAGAGCAGCAAAAATGTATATATTCAATGATGATGCTGTACCATTTTGGGTGTACAAAAGAAGAACAACAAGGAACAGTAGCAGCTGAACTAAGAATCGTAGAGCATGTTCTATACTCAAGTGGAGCGATCTCGATCGGATTGTTAAGCATGAATACGTTTTGTTGTTTCGTAAGAAGAAAACCTCACTTTTCAGAAAGTGATAGGAATCTTGCATGGTTGCGACGACGTGCAATTCAGTTTGATGTTTATCTTACATGTATGGGGAATGAACTTATTTTACCACCTATGAGGGAAAACGGACTACAGCCTAATAATTATTTTCCCGAGTCGTTCCTCTCATTGTGAATCGACCCTAACACGCCCCTAAAGAAAACAAGATGAGAAAAGTTAACCCTTTCATGCACGGTGTCCAATGTAGTGGATGGCAGAATTGTTTGCATGATTTTGGGTTTTCAGCCACGACTGCCTTGAAACTTTTGGTGCATTCAGTCGACTCAAGGACACATAATTTGTTCGGTGTTGCTTATAACGGAACAGTGGGCTACTATGGCAGAGTACCTCTTTAAACATCTAACTAAAAAATGTATATTTTTGCTTTGGTTTAAAAATGCATTCATGAAAGGATTAAAAGCTACTAATTACCAATCACGTTTCATTATAAAATGCGAATTAGTTCCAGTAAATTTCTCAGGACCTGCAACTTACCTTGTTGGTAAGGCAATCCTCCATTTTTGGGTTCCACATTATATCAGAGATGTCTTAGCATGTGAACAATTGGATAAATAACTATTCACTTCCAAGGGGAAAAGGAGGTCATACACAGTGAACCAAGAGAGCATATTTTGCGAAGGTGGTGGAGTGACCCCCTCATGCCCACTATTAACTAGAACAGATAGGCAAGACTGCCGCTACTGGCATGACTTTTGGTTGCTTGTCAGACTTCGAACATCTATTGACGATTTTTTCTGCAGAATGCATGGCCTCATCTAATGGTAACCAGGACATCACATTTCGTCAAAAATATTCAACCCCTCATATTTCCAATGGTATTTCCAAAGGAGGCCAAAGAAGGTGAGTCTTCTTTTCTCACTCTGATAGACCAGTTGGGCTACTGCAGCACTTTGTACCATGGGCCATTCGCTGTACACCTTCATACCCCTAAAACACAAGGTATAATAAATATAGTGTGGGACAGGAGTGCTGGCCACCTTTAGAACCTTAGCCATATCTCGGCTTCTAGGTCTAATAAAGATTCGGCTTTCACCATTCGAAAGACTCGACAAATCTGTATCTAAGTAGAATATCTTCACATACATTTTCTATGGTATCCTTCGAAAATTAAATTCCAATTCTAGGGGACAAATGAATGCATTGCCATCCGATAACATGCTTGCATTAATGTGCCTAGTTTTCCGTCACACTGTTAGAGGGTATCTAGATCGGGGAGTGTTTACTACGGTTCCCAAGCCTGTCAAAATTCCAGTTGATATGGGCAATAAACATAGTTTCTCCTATGAATTTTTCCTGAATTGTCGACCTGTTTTCGTAGCATTCTGAGTGAAGTGGAACATTTGCAACTCGCTAATCAATTTTCGGTCAATAGTTTATTAGCCGTTTTCCTAAATTCTCTTTGATTTGGAATTGATCACAACCAAGGCACAATAAATCTAAGAATCGATCATATAATTAGACGCTGTGCCCCAAGCATATCTTCAAGTTTCAATGCCTTTAAGTAACCCCCATAATAGGAGTTTCAATTATCGAAGTATACGATATAAAAATGTCTGCAATTTCCAATTTCGAGACAGAATTGTCGAGTCTTTTGAATGGTGAAAACCGCATCTTGATCATATCAAGTGTTCACAAGTTATTAACGTTCAATAGATGCGCAGGACTTTTGACTAGCCCTGTATTTTCAATAATGACTGGAAACGGGAAGAAGTCTCATGGGGCAGTACCCTTCTTGAATAACTCCAAAAAGGCTTATCTAGCTTTAAAATATGGCCAAGAGAAGCGCAATATGTATTTCTTCATAAATATACGATTTCCCTATGATCAAATTTGGAGATTGTCAGGAAAATGATGCCAAATTACGTCAAAAGGATGGGGCTTCGAGCAATGGGTCACTTTGTAATTGAGGAGATTAACTCATATTCAGGAATGCTTATGTCATTTTTCATTAATAGGCTACATGAGAGTGAGGTTCTACCTGTAAATGATGGAGAGGCAGTGGCCACCGCAATTGCATTCAAGCAGGTAAGAGAGCTGAGTCACTACGTGGAAGCCTACTCTTTTGCCTTTTTAGAATTAAATTCTCGTACTTCAACTGCAAAGTGATCAGGTCTTCTTGCATAACAACTTCAGATGTCACCACTCTTTTTCCCGAGGTAATTTCACAAAATATGCATAAATCTCACTCATGTTGGTCCATACTTTTTCGCTGATGAATGTGATGCAACAACTGATGAGACGCGTTCAGAACGGAGAAAGTGTGTCATCAGCAAATGTGAAATGTGGATAAGCATTAAAATAGCTTTAAAATGCTGTGGGCGGTACTTCTGCGAAAATAGCAATACCCGTACAAAGAGATGCATTCAGGCGCACATTCCGCCGAATATAAACTTGCTTTGAACATGACGGATTCCACATTCTTCAGAGTTGACCGTTAAAATCGTCAGGGTTAGTTTAAAATATTACCTTTTTCATAACTTAGTAAAGACTTGAGGGCCTCCCAGTACAATATGATTATGCTACTTGGCTTCACTGGATCCATACTTAAATGCATTAAAGCATGACGTTTCATTAGTTACTAAGCATTACACATGCGGGCTGAATAATCCTTTAGATTTCATTGCAATGCATTTATTCTCTTTCAGCTGGAGAATGGAAAGAAAGGGCTGGAAGCATCAAATCAAAAAATGGCGAATGAATTGGCCATTGAGAAGATAGAAAAAGCGCAACTTGAGAAAGACCTCAAGGAAAGCAAAGACAAGGTCTCATACTCTCTCATTTCCTATTTTAACGGGTCAAAGGTTAAAAAATTATTCATGATTCCAGATAGAAGAGTTGCTGTTGGAACTGCGGACCATAGAGGAGAAAGCAAAGGATCTTGGGGAGCAGCTGAAGAAGGAACAAAATGCATATAGAGGGATAGAGAGAGATAAACGAACAATCGAGAATAAGCTCAAGGAAAGCAGCGATCAGGTCTCATATCCTAGTCATTTTCAACATATGGATCTGTCCACGCCAAATGGTGCGAAGAACCCTAGCAGGAACGTTCTCTAAATTCGCAATAATATTAATCTGCAAAAATTCATAATCAATTTTTTCTGAAAGCATGACCGAAAGAAGATATTATCTTTAAAGTGAAAGTTGATCATTTTCATTATGGATTATTAGTACCATTCTCAAGATATTTGTAGGAATGATGGAAATCTTGGGAATGAATTAGAATACTTGAATTAAATTACTTGAATACTTGATGCCAGCACTTATTCCATTCGGATAGCTCATTTAAAAATTTGTTCAAATGTCGAGTGAGAATGTCAATTGCCCACATTTGAAAAATACTTCAAAATACGAGGACTGACAATAAAATAACGAGACAGACAACATTGTAATGCCTGTGGCAACACTGTTTCACTGGCGATTGTTGTAACCTGTCAATGCATATCTTAAGCCTGTGCAGTAACAAACTTGTCGTTATACTTCTAGTGATTGCAGAGCAGTACCACTTTACCTAAAGTAGTGTTAGGGACACTCGTCCAAAAATGGGTGATAATATTACGAACAAAGAATCAACGTGAAATTTCTAATCAAACTCTGAAAAAAAACTGAAGTCCTTGAAATATTGAAACAAGTGTATGAAGATGAGGTTATGTCCAGAGTAAAATGTATTTGAATGGTGCAAACCAGCGGTTATCAAACTTACATGTAGGCGACCCCCCCAGCCCACCCCCCCCAGATGACTCTGACTAAACGTCGCGCCCCCCCCTACCTTCCCCACTCTTACTCCAGAAAATAATACGAGGGCAAAAGCTTGCAGCTCACTTATAATTCTAAAGAAACTATGTTCGTTATGCAATAAATATAAATAAGACAGGTTCACTGCAGGTCAAGTCGTTATCCGAGGCCACAGAAAATTGTGAATGTTCTGTCAGGAAACTTAATGTGAGCTTACTTCTGGCGCCCACAACTTATCAAATCTTGGCTTGGAAGAAATAGCGGCACGAAGCTCATTTTCAACAGCCATATGGAATCTATACTTGGTCTTGATTGCAGCCAGGGCAGAGAACCCAGTCTCGCACAAGTATGATAAATCAAAAGGGAGCAGAATCATCATTGCCTTTGTAGAAAGATGCTAGTATTCCTCCTCGACACTAAGCCAAAAATTTGGCAGGGATTTTTCTTGGAAGAATTGTTTGAGAGAACTGTCACAGGAGAGTTCGATCAGCTGCTCCTCCTCTTTGGTGCTGAGTCCAGAAGATTGGTCAACGTTGTTGCAAAATGGATCTCTGACCCAGTGGAATTTCTTTATGCCCATGCCCTGAAAGCAGGTTTTCAAGTTCTCTTGAAGGGCCATGAGGTGGCCGATAATGCAAGGCTGAATCGGGTTTACGTTAATCTCATTTTCTTCAGCAAAAACTTGAAGCACGCGAACATATCAAAGACACCATCACCTTACGTTGCCAAAGGTGGAGCTTCCTCATAAAAGCCTCAACTTTTTCGCTCATCAGAATCACGTGCGTACCTAGGCCTTGAAGGGACATATTGAGGTCATTAAGCTTCTCAAATATGTCAGCAAGGTAAGCTAGCTTGAGCAGGAAATTAGGTTCGGAGAATGCATGCGCTCCATTATAGGAAGAACCCTCCAAAAAATATGTGCATCTCTTTTCGAAGTTCAAAAACTCTCTGAAGAACTTTGCCCCAAGAAAGCCATCGAGCTTCACTGTAGAATAGATGTGCCTCATGTTCAGCCCCTTTTACGCACACAGAGTGGCAAAGAAACGCGCCTTCAGCGGATTCATCTTGATATAGTTGACCATCTGGATGACTGCCTGCATAACTTCGCTCAAATCTCGACTCATTTCTCTAGATGCCGGTGCTTCCGGATGAGGCATGCAATGAGTTCATTGAATCCGTTTCTTTCTTCACTAACGCCTGGAGCCCCTCTTTCTTTCCTGTCATTGATGGAGCACCGTCTGTGCACAAACCAACACAAAAACGCAATTCCAATTTGCACATTAAAAAAAATTCATAAATGGTTTGGACCAGTTCAGCAGCTGTTGCTCTTCCAGCAATTTTCTTGCAGAACAGAATGTCCTTCAACACTGCTTTTTGGCAAGAGTAGCGAACAAAGGCAATCGAGTGGGAGTCCTTGGCTAAATCAGTAGCCTCGTTCAATTGAATTGGAAAGTGAATCGACTACCATTCAGTCTACCCACCAGTTGGTCACAGATGTCCTCAGCCATATCATCGATTCTTCTCCAAACAGATGTCTCACCAAGGATTATTCGACATACGAGTGGTGGCTATTATGTTTCCAGACTGGTTTTATTACTGAACTTTGAGAGAGAGGAGGGGAGTGGGGCTATGACAGTAACATGGAGGGGAACCTTAGCTTATAACCAGGCAAGTTTCAATGTGGTCTGACCAATGCGCTGCGAGCTGCGACCCGTTAAGGTAGACCGTATTTGTGTGCGCTGGCGGATTTGAAATGGAGAGTAACCTCGAGCAGAGAACTAACGTCAGATTTTGAGCTAAACTGGGGAAATCCGCAACTGAAACGCTCGAAATGTTAAGAAAAGTTTATGGTCATCATACCATGGCAAGAGCGCAAGTTTTTTTGTGGCATAAAAGGTTTAAAGAGGGAAGAGAAGACGTCAATGACGACCAGCGTTGTGGAGCGCCAATCACCAAACGAACACCTGAAAATGTCTCAAAAGTTACGGATTTAGTGCGTTCAGACAGACGGTTGACAATTAGAA